CCCGGACACCGTAAGGATTGACAGATTGAAAGCTCTTTCTCGATTTGGTGGTTGGTGGTGCATGGCCGTTCTTAGTTGGTGGAGCGATTTGTCTGGTTTATTCCGATAACGAGCGAGACTCTAGCCTGCTAAATAGTGGCTGGATTTTTACGTCCAGTCTACTTCTTAGAGGGATAAGCGGTGTTTAGCCGCACGAGATTGAGCGATAACAGGTCTGTGATGCCCTTAGATGTCCGGGGCTGCACGCGCGCTACAATGGAAGAATCAGCTGGCCTATCCATTGCCGAAAGGCATTGGTAAACCGTTGAAACTCTTCCGTGACCGGGATAGGGAATTGTAATTATTTCCCTTGAACGAGGAATTCCTAGTAAGTGTGAGTCATCAGCTCACGCTGATTACGTCCCTGCCATTTGTACACACCGCCCGTCGCTGTCCGTCGTCATGCTCTTTCCGGGACTGAGCGCATTTGTTACTCGATGAGGACTTCTTTGCGGACTGCTGTATCGAGGCCTTCGGGTCGCGGTATGGCGGGAAACAGTTCAATCGCAATGGCTTGAACCGGGTAAAAGTCGTAACAAGGTATCTGTAGGTGAACCTGCAGATGGATCATCGTCGAAACCACAATGAATGGTTACTTTGATCACGAGAAACCAACGGACATGTATGTTTGCGACTTTGTCGTGAATGTTGGGAGTATCACCCCCGTTAAAGCTCTACATTGAGGTGTCTATGTATGACATGAGCCGTTCGTGAGTGGCGGCTATGATTGTTCATGCGAAGTTCCCAATACTATATTGGTTGAGCTTAAGACTTAATGAATATTGCAAGAATATCGCCTCTAATCGTTTTATAATGGTGGTTATGTTATATACAGATGTAATATTAGATATGTACCCTGGCGTCTTTTCTCATGCGAATCGCACTCCTCTCCCAAACAATTACGTACAGCATTACCACTCTCAGAAGACTTCGCTCTTTATGACCAGACAAGGATACAAAACACAACTAAATCTAATGTCTTGAAGTTAATGCACAGTATCGACTCTTAGGTTCCATAACAATGTCGTGCACACCAACCAACAATTGGACCTAGCCCTTATCTAAGACCGATGACACTCGCCATCCGCCGAGCTCAGTGCCTCTTCTATTTCTCCGGTTTCGCAAAAACGACCCCAGATTACAGAGAATCTTGACCTATCTTCCCATCTTTAGTGTAATGAACAAGCTAAGTTAGTCATCAACTAGCATATTAGTGCGCACCTACATCTAAGCCCTCAGTTAAGTTATTAATATTGACACTCGCACAAATTCTCGTGCCACCTAGTGTCCCCCCAGCCTCAACCACGCACTCCTACTCAGCCAAGATATTACTTACCATCCAACTTCAGTGACGCTCAGCTCGCTGAAGGTTGACAATCTGTTCACCACCTCCGTACCTCGCGCGCACACTCTCTGCAGTACTCCTACCAGAGATAAGTATCGCCTACTCGTCTATAAATCATGACACGGATCAGCAAATACACTGCCACTCATATACCATCACCCCATGAGATGTGAACCCGTTCACTGTAAAACGTTCCTTAACAAGACTCCACCTAGCTCGTTTGGACGGTCTACACCGATCAGTGTGTCACAACACATTTGCTTCGTACCTATTCTACGTGCTCTTATGACACTAAGAATACCCGCGATATAAGCTTATATAATTCAGAGCCATCTCACAATCATAAGCCAAGCGACACCTATGACCATCATCGCTCCAGCTCCTATGACATGACCTCCCAGACACCTCTCTCCCGTTAACTCGAGTCAGATAACCTATAGACAGAACCACACTCTCAACACCTGATGATATCAATACTATTATCAAACACTGATTTACCTATAGATACTCCATGAACTCTCGAACAGTATATTGTTACTACTACAAACTAAAATCGTATATTCGTCATGGACCGCATATGTTCGCTTTTAATTACGCAGCCATTCCAATTCAAGTTAGTATATATCTGTCCAACGCTATCGCAGTTCTCTCACTTACGCTAAAATCGTGTCGTGCCACACCTCTCACACGACTAAGATCACATTACCTAGTCCCCTAATCCATTTATGCGTGAATTACGCAGTTATTTATATACCCAAGCTGTTCAAAACGAAACTAACAAGCGATTCCCTCCAGCGTCAACTTGTATCCTGTCAGCCCCGTCTAAATCTCCCAAGCCTTTTATCCCCCTTCATGTGCACTGCCCAGACGTGTCAATCATCTCGCGCTTGATGACCCAAGCTGATCCCGACGAGATCACCTCCAGCCGCTGCCACATCTTAATTGCCGATTGTTGCTAATATCCCGCTTAAAGAACATGTATCCTCATCCTTTCTAATACCTCGCCTCATTTTGACATGAGAGTGCCCGCCAACCTTCCACATTCTCATTACCATATCCACCCTTGTTGCTATTCTACGTCTTAAGACAGACGTACCACACATCCCCCCAGTTACTCTGACTTTGACACATCGAGCAGTTTTCGTGTCACACTACACCTCTGTACTATACGTGCACAGCGCTACCTTAGCTGCTGCACAAGCCTTCGAGCCTACGACTTAGCACTCTCCGTGTCAAGCATGTCTCTCGAACATGACCGCTGCGTCTAGCTGATACACGTCCTCCAACGCAATCCCACCCCCGTCATTATAATACGGCCCTCGCCCCCCCGATCACACCGAGTCATCCAATTATCCGGCCACCTAAATAGTTACTCCCTTCTCGTCTGTCTTGTCAGCACTTCCTACGTCCCGCGTCAGACCTTCCCTCTCCCTCCCACATACTCTCACAGAGTGCACCATCCACGACCGCCATGGCCATCGACACCACTCTGTTGCTACCGCATTATCCCCTGTCTACCCACTCACCTCCCCTTGCGTTTTCAGTTTGTGCTACATGTCCAAAGTCCCTTTGATAGGGGCCATATTCCCGAGAGGGTGCGAGACCTGTGCGGACAGTGGAGCAAGCTGTACGATCATACCTTAGAGTCGGGTTGCTTGAAAGTGCAGCCTAAAGTGGGTGATAAACTTCATCTAAGGCTAAATATAGACGCGAATTCGATAGCAAACAAGTACTGTGAAGGAAAGTTGCAAAGAACTTTGAAGAGAGAGTTCAAGAGAACGTGAAATCGCTGGAGTGGAACCGGAGAGAGTTGACGTAGCCGGGTAACTAAGTTTCCTAATGTCGCTTAATTGTGGCTGCAGGTGATGTATGTTGCCTATGGCTGCGCTGACAGCGCTGGCTATGCGTTCTGACCCGTTTGCGTTGCCCACTTCGGTGGTGTCTTGCCTACGGTTAGGTTTGTCATGGCTAGCGTTTTATTCTGCATGCAGAGTGTCAGTGTGAAAGTCGACCACCTCTCCGACCCGTCTTGAAACACGGACCGAGGAGTGTAACTTGTACGCGAGTCAAAGGGTGGTAAAACCCCAAGGCGTAATGAAAGTAAAGGTCGGTTAACCGGCTGACATGGGATCCACTTTTCGAAGTGGCGCACCATGGCCCTGTCTTGTCTGCATGCAGATGGGCAGCGGTAGAGCGTACAGGTTGCGACCCGAAAGATGGTGAACTATGCCTGAGCAGGACGAAGTCAGAGGAAACTCTGGTGGAAGTCCGTATCGGTTCTGACGTGCAAATCGATCGATAGACTTGGGTATAGGGGCGAAAGACTAATCGAACCATCTAGTAGCTGGTTCCCTCCGAAGTTTCCCCCAGGATAGCTGGAGTTCATTGCGGTTATATCCGGTAAAGCGAATGATTAGAGGACTTGGGGTCGAAACGACCTCAACCTATTCTCAAACTTTCAATGGGTATGTTGTCTCGGTTTCTTTGTTGAACTGTTGACACGAACGCGAGCTCCAAGTGGGCCATTTTTGGTAAGCAGAACTGGCGCTGTGGGATGAACCAAACGTTGGGTTAAGGTGCCTAACTTTTCGCTCATGAGACCCCATAAAAGGCGTTGGTTGATATAGACAGCAGGACGGTGGCCATGGAAGTCGGTACCCGCTAAGGAGTGTGTAACAACTCACCTGCCGAATCAACTAGCCCTGAAAATGGATGGCGCTTGAGCGAGAGACCTATACCCAGCCGTTGCTGGCTTGTGCGTTGTCTAGCGCCTGGCCGCAACGAGTAGGAGGGTCGTGGCGGTTGCGTCGAAGGCTTTGGGCGTAGGCCCAGCTGGAGCTTCCGTCAGTGCAGATCTCGGTGGTAGTAGCAAATATTTAAGTTCGATCCTTGAAGACTGAAGTGGAGAAGGGTTCCACGTGAACAGTAGTTGAATGTGGGTCAGTCGATCCTAAGATACTGGCTTATGCCTTGTATCATCGAGAGGGAAAAGTCTCTTTTCTCTCGGATATCAAAAGGGAATAGGGTTAATATTCCCTAACGCAGACACAGAGATTGTGGCTCGTTGAGTCACTTGCGCGGTAACGCATTCGAACTTGGTTACGTCGCTCAGAGACCGAGCTAGAGTTCTCTTCTCTAGTTAAGGAACGGACTCCCTGGAATCGGTTCAGCCGTAGATAGGGACGTTGTTTCCGTAAAGCATCGCGGTTTCTGTGATGTCTCGTGTTCTCTGGACGGCCCTTGAAAAACCAGGGAAGGCTATTAATCTGTGCTGCATCGTACCGATATCCGCATCAGGTCTCCAAGGTGAACAGCCTCTAGTCGATAGAATAATGTAGGTAAGGGAAGTCGGCAAATTAGATCCGTAACTTCGGGAAAAGGATTGGCTCCAGTGACCGGGTCGGTTGGCCTGTTAACTGATGCTTGTGCGGTTTCGTCCGTGGCTGGCTGATGCTCACGCTGATGCTGGACTAGTGACAAGACTGCCTTGTGGACGTTTTCAGGTGTGTGCTTTGTCTCGGGCTTAGTATCCTGACCGACCATCAAAACGGTCGAACTGGAACTGGTACGGACTCGGGGAATCCGACTGTCTAATTAAAACAGAGGAGACAGATGGTCCTTGCGGACGTTTACTGTCTCTGATTTCTGCCCAGTGCTCTGAATGTTAAATCGTAGTAATTCGAGTAAGCGCGGGTAAACGGCGGGAGTAACTATGACTCTCTTAAGGTAGCCAAATGCCTCGTCAGCTAACTACTGACGCGCATGGGGACTACACTTCCGACTTCCAAGTAGTGTTCCCGGTAACTCTGATCTGCGATCCGTCGGTTCTCGACAGGGTCAGAGGCTGACAGGAAGTGCGCATTCAAAGCTTGAGAAGCGGCAAAAGCAGCCGCAGTTGAATGTGAAAAATATGAGCCAAAGCGAGCATTTATTGGCTCAATCTTCGAACCCCCAAGACCCTGGCAACGGGCACGACGCCCTACAGGCGAGGGGAACGAAACGATTCTGGTCCGCTCGCGAGCTAGAGAGACTCCCGCGTCTTGTAGAAGATCATAGACGGGGAGGCCGGATCGATTGGCGGTCCCTTGCGGAAGCTTGGGATCGTTCAAGAGAACCGGGTGACGCGCAGCGTACCATCAATGCCCTGAAAGGGCAGTATGCGAAGCATAATAGGGATCAGCGAAGGATGGAGGCTAGAGTGCCATCCGGAGCTGATCTAACAGAGGAACTCCCGGGTTCTCTCTCCCAGGAGGGCTCTTTACCGGAAGTGGGTCTGACATCAGAGACCATCGTGACTCAACCTGTAGCTGCGAACCTTCAGGAAAAGCTACTCCAGAGGTTCAAAGTCTACTATAAGGTTGCCATAGGCTCCCATGATAGACGCCCTATAAGAAGACCGGAAGGAGAAATCCCGAAGGATCTTCTTGAGAGTGGTAATGCGGTGCTGGTTCGCATGCTAGAAGATCTACCACCCTCGAATGGGAAACGGTTCATAACCAGCTTGAACGCTAGTGTATATGCTATTGCTCGTGCAATAGCTGTCACTGCGGACGAGCTGAGGCGAGATCGGACGACCGTTGACCCCAAACGCCGTCTTAAGGAGCTATACGAACAACGGAGATCGCAGTTAAGAGTCGTTTCGATTCTGAGCAGCGAACTTCGGAGACGCAAAGCGCTTCGACAGCGAAAGGAAGAGGCTAGGCAAAGGCCTAGCTGGAATTATCTCCGAGTAGCTGAAGCGCATAAAATCCGACGTCGCGGAGAGTTGGGGCGAGTTTTGAGAAAGTTCAAAGACCAACTCAACGTGACACAACTCGAAATCAAGAAGTTGAAGGAAACCCAACGTCGAAAGCTGGTCCGACGGAAGGGAGCTTCCTTTGTGGTCCAAGAGCGAGAGTTCCCCACTGAGGTGCCTGTTGCCAGTGTTCGTGAATACTGGCTCCCTATAGTGGGCGAACATAAACCATTCCACGTAGGACCTGAATTCGAGGAATGGTCGAAGTCCATTGGATCGCAGCGAGACACACCTCTTCGCTCTGGGGAGCTGACTGAGGAAACCTGGAGGACTTTGTTCTCTAAGGTCAAGCCTTGGAAAGCTAGTGGCCCAGACGGTATCCAAGGGTTCTGGTGGAAACACCTACCCGAGGCAAAGCGGCAGTTGAAGACCTGGTGCCTTCGGGCACAACGACAGCCGCGCAAGTCGATCCCAAACTGGCTCTGCCAGGGAAGGGTCGTACTGATACCGAAGAAGAGAGGCGATCCACGTTCGCTCGGACCCGGAGACTTCCGGCCAATAGCATGCTTAAACACATGCTATAAGATCTTGACCGGCATGATGGCGGCACACATCTCCCAAGTAGTAGGAGACCGGTTTCCCGGTAGTCAAGTTGCCCTACGAAAAGGAGTTTGGGGTTGCACTCATGCCCAGATACTGGACCAGACCATTGTCAAGGACGCGGAGCGACATAATAAAGAACTGCACATGCTTTGGGTTGACATGACGAAGGCATACGATTCCCTCTGCCACGGTGCTATTTCGTGGGGCATCAAACAGTGGGGAGTACCATCTGATGTCCGACGTCTTTTGTCAACCATCATGTCACTCCAGACCGTAAGGTACTGTGGTTACTCGAACGGGAGACAAGTCCGGAGCAGACCCCTGCAGATCAGAAATGGTCTTATGCAGGGTGACACTCTTAGCCCGTTGCTATTCTGTCTAACCATAGCACCCCTTTCAGCGTGGATCCAGGCACACGTCAAGCCGTACCAAACGAAGACCGGTTCAGGGCCCCGCTCTGACGGCGCCTTACAGGTTAACCATGTGTTCTACATGGACGACCTTAAGGTGTTTACACCTGATTGGGAAAGCTTGATGGTGGCCCGTAAGGGGATCCAGCGAGTTGCTGGGAGGCTTGGCCTGGAAATGAACATGAGTAAGTGTGCAATACGGTCGCTCAACTCCGAAGACATGGGGCGAGATCGAGCCGATGAAGTAGGTGGAATACCTATTCTCGGAGGCACCGAGGTCTATAAGTATCTGGGGGCTGAGCAAACTGGGTTGATCTGTTTCGAGGACCTATGGCATCGAGTCGCAGAAACGGCGACGGCTACGGCACGAAGGTTGTTCTTCAGTAACCTGACGATTCGTCAGAAGGTGAACGGGTTCAACCAGGTGGTCGTACCGAAGCTAAAGTATGCGTTCTCGTGCATAGTATTCGGAAGCAGGGAGATTCAGCGCGCTGAGAGTGCGAGCCCGTAACTTCGACTTGGAGATGAGGCGACTGTTGGTCGAATCTCATACGAGATTCAGACACAGTTGCGTTGCGCGCCTGTATGTTGGGAAAGAGTCCGGAGGACTGGGAATGAAGTCGGTAGAGGAGGAGCTTGAACTGAGTGTTACATACACTTGGTGCTACCTAGCCTCGAGCACTGACTTCCTAGTCTCGTTCGAGTTGTCGGAGCGTCTGCGTGCCAGTACGAAGCGATCGATCACGTCTGATTTCCGCACGATAATGACTGCGAACGGATTGGACGATCGCGTATCTCGCACGATTATGGCGACCATTAAAGTAGATAACCAAACGTTCTATACTGCCACCGAAGCGGCAAGAGCTATCTCTAAGCTGATCCGGGAAAGGTGGTCTAAGTGCTACCTTGATGACTGGAAAAGCAAGGAAGTAGCTGGGCGAGTGCTGCAAGATCTTGGTCGAGATGGTAACCCGACTGGACTATGTAGAAAGGATTCGTTCCTTTGGTCCATTAAAGGTTGGGTATCATCAGAAGTTCTCAGGAACGTTTGGGCAGTACAGGAATCATCACTCTTGACCAGAGCCAGTGCTTCGGGTCGATCCTTAGCAAACTCTGGTAATGGCTTGTGCCGTATGCGCTGCGGACCCTACATGGAGACCGCCGAACACGTTGTCTCCGCGTGTGGCCACTGGCGGACCAACCTTATGGTCGAAAGACATGATGAGGTGGCTAGGGTCCTATATGCTTCTATCAGGCGCAAATACGGAATAACCGTGACAGTGAATACCCACCGTCCACACGTTGTGGAAGCGAGTCAAGTGGTTATACACTGGAATGATAGCATCGTGACAAGCGAGGGGCTAGAACACAATAAACCGGACCTTTTGGTCTGGGATAAACGTGCTGCGCGGATATGGATCATCGAGGTATCGGTCTCGTGGTATACCCGCGTCCTCGCTCAAGAACAACGGAAGCTCGGTAAGTACGGCATAAATAGCACTCTACCCGAGGAGACTGGACCAGATGGGTTCCATCCAGGCCCAAATCTCCGTGCGGTCCTTCAGAAGGACAGGCACTGTCGAGTAGACGTAATACCAATAGTCTTAGGGGCTTGTGGCGAAGTAACGCCCAACCTAAGACGATACATACTTGCATTAGAGCTTCGAGACGATGCTAGTGACCTGATAGAACATATGCAGCGTTGTACCATCCTCGGCACAAACCGATTGGTGAAATGTCATCTCGCCAATCCGAGTGATGATTAGTCACACGGTCAGACCCTGGAGTCGCAACAGAAGGGACAAGATGCATGGATACGGATGTGCCAGCCAGTACGCCCGGGTTGGAAGAGTGCATACGTCCTGGAGCTGCTATGGACTCCTTATCTTGAACTATTACGGGAAGCAACAGCTAGCCTCTGCGTTTGAAAATCCAAAAAAATGGAAAAACACATAACCCTAAAAATCGAAAAACACAAAAGACCTAAAAAGTATAAAATCATAAAACCCAAAAAAAGGACAAGTCGTGAATTGCGTACTGTGTACGCACTTGTACAGTAATGTAGGTATCATTGAACTGCGTACTATGTACGCGTTGTATATAATAGTAATTGCGTACTATGTACGCAAATGTAAATAATGTACATAGAAGTAGATTAGAAACCGCCCTAGTCAATAATACGGGTCTTTGATACGGGTTATTTTCCATTATTGAAATTCTGTACGTGTTCTACGTACAGGATATAGAGATGTGTACTATGTACACAAAAAATACGCAGAGTGTTGCCTACTCCCGGCCTGGTGTAAGTCGTGAGACGTCCGCTGCTAAGCCCAGCTCGTAGTTGCAAGATAAGAACAGAAATGAGAGAGGGACCATCCGAGGAGGGGCAAGAAAGCACTACGAGAGCTAGAGAGGGCGAGGCGGCACCCAGGTAACTGAACGCGTGGTGAACTGGGACAGAGACGTAGTACGCAGTAATGACTGAAGGTCGATGACCCCAGATGGTGAATCTGTGGAGAAGACCTGATGCGACCAGGTAAAAGCCAGGCTTGACAGCCGAAGAGTAGCAAAAGGCGGGGCGAGCGTATCTCAGCATTGCACGCCGAGAGCTGAAGATCACCGTCCGAGTAGCTGCTCCAGGAGTTAGATGGCTCTCCTGGAACTAGCTCCCGGGGGGAGCAGTCCTTCGCGTACTGTAGGTTTCGCGACCGGAGGTGGCGTTAGCCACTTCTTCAGGGAACCCGCCTGGAAGGGTACCCCGATGACGCGTGTAGGGCTTTGCCTGAAGCGAAGAGGGGGCGCGTCGTACTGGTTCCTAGATGACTCGGCGTCTAGGACATTCTCTTGAGTTGGTCGCACATAACAACACAGACCAACCTGGAGACAGTACAAGTGGAGAGGGTAAGAGGCTGACGCGCATGAATGGATTAACGAGATTCCCACTGTCCCTAACTACTATCTAGCGAAACCACAGCCAAGGGAACGGGCTTGGCAAAAATAGCGGGGAAAGAAGACCCTGTTGAGCTTGACTCTAGTTTGACATTGTGAAGAGTCATGAGAGGTGTAGCATAGGTGGGAGATTTCGGTCGCCAATGAAATACCACCACTTTCATCGATTCTTTACTTATTCGGTGAGAAGAGGATTGAGCTCCGGCTCTTTTTTCTTTGTCTTAAGCAAAGCCACCTGGTGGCATTGCGACTCTCGCCGAAGACAGTGTCAGGCGGGGAGTTTGACTGGGGCGGTACATCTGTCAAACTGTAACGCAGGTGTCCTAAGGCTAGCTCAGAGAGGACGGAAACCTCTCGTAGAGCAAAAGGGCAAAAGCTCGCTTGATCTTGACTTTCAGTACGAGTACAGACCGCGAAAGCGTGGCCTATCGATCCTTTTAATCCAGATAGTTTCTGGTAAGAGGTGTCAGAAAAGTTACCACAGGGATAACTGGCTTGTGGCAGCCAAGCGTCCATAGCGACGTTGCTTTTTGATCCTTCGATGTCGGCTCTTCCTATCATTGCGAAGCAGAATTCGCCAAGCGTTGGATTGTTCACCCACTAATAGGGAACGTGAGCTGGGTTTAGACCGTCGTGAGACAGGTTAGTTTTACCCTACTGTTGACTAATTGTTGCGATAGTAATCCTGCTTAGTACGAGAGGAACAGCAGGTTCAGACATTTGGTTCATGGACTTGACCGATCGGTCAATGGTCCGAAGCTAACATCTGGGGGATTATGACTGAACGCCTCTAAGTCAGAATCCCACCTAGTCAAGGCAGCGATAACTTTGTTTCCCGGTGTCGGGAGGCAACTCTATCTCGTGGCAACATGAGAGCTTATGCCCTAGTAAATGACCTTGCCGGTATGGATAATCCCTGCTGGTTGTCAAAGCCAGATCACTCTGGTTCAATGTCGGGGCGCAAAATCACATGTCTACGACATGTATACTGGTCAAGGTGTTGTATCCAGTAGAGCAGTGTTTGTATACTGCGATCTGTTGAGACTATCCTCTGATCGGGTGTTTTGTTTAGCATATGAAAGACGTGTTTTAATCGCGATGTTTCTGGACTTGTGCGAATTCTCTGTGAGTCTGGACTTAGACGAATTTCTCAGTTCCACGCGATTAAAACATGTCTTTTGTGGGTGCGGAAGAATATCGTCTGTATACATATATATGTGTACATATGTATGTGTGTGTGTGTGTGTGGAAAGTCACACGTAACATGTGCGTTTCATAGGGGGGGGGTGGAAATATGCGTATGTATACATCTATATACATGCAAATGTATATGTATATGTATATATATATATGCATACATTTACATGTATATATACATGTATATATACACATGTAAATATATACTTATAAGTGTATATATGTATGTAATATATACTTATAAGTGTATACTTATAAGTGTATATATATACATGTATATATTACACATATATATATACATATAATATACAGGCGATATTGGTGATTTTACATAGAAATGGGGACAATATGATGTTACATGCATGTGGCATGATGAACATTCCCAGCAGCTGTGTGTCTACATGTGAGGATGGGATGGAAACTTTTCGATGAAGAGTTTTCGGCGTTCCCAACGTTCACAAATGAATAAAATGGGTATCGTTATGTGCAGATTTGATTTTGCCAATATTTGAAAATGTTGGAGCTTTGCGAAAATGCAAACTCGTCGAATATCCTGAAGTCACGGGCGAGCGTGAATGGGGAATTCATATGCGAGTTCGTTTACCTGATTGATTCTGTCAGCGCTATATGCTCAGTTTAAAGATTAAGCCATGCATGTCGAGTTCATCTTTAAGAGAAACTGCGAACGGCTCATTAGAGCAGATGTCATTTATTCGGAAAGTCCTATTGGATAACTGCGGTAATTCTGGAGCTAATACATGCAAATAAACCCTGACTTTCGAAAGGGTGCAATTATTAGAGCAAATCAATCACCTTCGGGTGCTGTTTGCTGACTCTGAATAACGCAGCATATCGGCGGCTTGTCCGCCGATATTCCGAAAAAGTGTCTGCCCTATCAACCTGATGGTAGTCTATTAGTCTACCATGGTTATTACGGGTAACGGAGAATAAGGGTTCGACTCCGGAGAGGGAGCCTTAGAAACGGCTACCACATCCAAGGAAGGCAGCAGGCGCGAAACTTATCCAATCTTGAAGAGATGAGATAGTGACTAAAAATAAAAAGACCATTCCTATGGAACGGTCATTTCAATGAGTTGATCATAAACCTTTTTTCGAGGATCAAGTGGAGGGCAAGTCTGGTGCCAGCAGCCGCGGTAATTCCAGCTCCACTAGTGTAAATCGTCATTGCTGCGGTTAAAAAGCTCGTAGTTGGATCTGAGTTACATGCAGTGATTCGCCTTTGGCGTTAATCGCTGTTGTAACTATTTGCTGGTTTTTTGCAGAGGTTTCGGCTTCTGCAATGGCTAGCGAGTTTACTTTGAATAAATTAGAGTGCTCAGAACAAGCGTTTGCTTGAATGGTCGA